GGGACTGTGCCGCCTGTGCGGTCAGCACTCATCCTTCCCAGGGAGCTCCCCATGACACTGTGGGTAGAAGCTCTGGGTGAGAGGGTCGACCCCTGGCAGGGCAGGTTCCTGTTCGTGCTGAGAGGCAGCTGTGTGGGCCAGGGCTGCCCACAGCTCTAGATCATGAGGAGGACATTTTGAGAGTGGACTTTTCCAGAGAACTTGTGTCTGCATGGTGGGAATGGAAATGCAGCAGACAGGTTTAATAAAAGGGCACATCATCTTCGTCACCACCATGAAGGTTGGAGAGGTTTGCAACGAAACTCATCAAGTGCCTTTAGCAACCCTCAGCCTACAGACAGCACTGACATTCCCTTGCCAGTCTCACCAGAGACTCTCTGATCTGCTCTGTAGCACCTGCAAACAGGGAGATGTCCCTAGGTGCTTCCTGCTCTGTGGAGCTTTCTGTATGGCTGAGCTGAATGCTCAGCAAGTACGTAGGGGTCTGTGGTGGTGACAGGGGAAWAGCCCTCAGCAAGGACATCTCCAAGCAGCAGAGATGTGATCTGAGGCAAGAGGAAACTGCTGCCAAAACTTCATGCAAGGTTGGGGTGCAGGAAGTTCTCTGCCTGTCCCTGCAGAGCAGATGCTTTTCCCTCCACAAGGGTCCTTCACCCTTCCTCTGGCATCCAGCAGTGCCTGTGCCCTCAAAGCCACATGACGGAGGACACAAGTTAACTTTTTGGCAGCCAGAGCCCCAAAAGAGGAGAAGAGCAGCTCTCTTGCCAGCTGTCTATTTCCTAGGCCATGGCAAAGGGGCTGGGAACAACCTCCCTGCAAAGTCTCCATCCAGGAGTTGGTGTGCATGTGGAGAGCAGTGAAGAGTGCCTGAAGTGCAGATAAGCAAACCAGAGAGTCTCCCCAAAGTGAAGTAGTTGCTTTTGTGGTGAAAATGCCTTGTAAGTGATTGTGAAGACACTGAACTGCCCTTAAATATTAGAGCAGGAAGGAATGTATGCGTGTGTCTCCATGTGTGTTCCCATAGGTGGAAGAGAGTGTGAGAAAGGGAAAGAGTTTTGATACGAAAAGTCTGTCCTGACTTGTCACTGTCTTTTCCTCTTTAGGAAAGACAGTCCCCAAATACCTGCTGAAGAGAGCAAAATGTCCAATAGTAGCTCCCTCAATGAGTTCGTCCTAATGGCATTTGCAGACAGGCGGGAGCTGCAGCTCTTGCACTTCTCCCTCTTCCTGGCCATCTACCTGGTTGCCTTCCTGGCCAACAGCCTCATCATCACAGCCATAGTCTGCAACCACCGCCTGCACACCCCCATGTACTTCTTCCTGCTCAACCTCTCTGTGCTCGATCTGGGATCCATCTCCACCATTATCCCCAAATCCATGGCCAACTCCCTCTGGGACAACAGGACCATTTCCTTTTTGGCATGTGCTGTCCAGGTTTTCCTGTTGGTCTTCTTCTTTGGAGGGGAGTTTTCTCTCCTCACAGTCATGGCCTATGACCGCTTTGTGGCTATCTGCAGACCCCTGCACTATGGGAATCTCCTGGGCAGCAGAGCTTGTGTCCAAATGGCAGCAGCTGCCTGGGCGACTGGCTTTCTCTATGCTCTCCTGCACACTGGGAACACATTTTCCATACCACTCTGCCATGGCAGGGAGGTACAGCAGTTCTTCTGTGAGATCCCCCAGATCCTCAAGCTCTCCTGCTTACACTCCTACCTCAGGGAAGTCGGGGTTACCCTGGTTACTGCCTGTATAGTCTTTGGTTGTTTCCTTTTCATTGTGGTGTCCTATGTGCAGATCTTCCGAGCTGTGCTGAGGATCCCCAGTGAGCAGGGCCACCACAAAGCCTTTTCCATGTGCCTCCCGCACCTGGCTGTGGTCTCCCTTTTTGTCAGCACTGTCATGGTTGCCTACCTGAAGCCGCCCTCTATTTCCTCCCCAGTTATGAATCTAGTAGTGGCCGTTTTGTACTGAGTGGTTCCTCCAGCACTGAACCCCCTCATCTACAGCATGAGGAATAAGGAACTCAAGATTGCCCTGAGGAAACTGATTTCATGGACTTTTTTCAGCAGTGATAACATTTCCATCTCTCTCCACAAGTGACTCCTTCTGGATCCCTTTCCTGCACTGAACGTTGTTCCTTCATGTTATTTTTATTAAGGCTTTTATTAGTAGTAAAAATTGTAATCATGTTGGTGCACAAGTACTTGCATTCATTCCACTTTGACAGAGACTGTTCTTTTTTAGCATGTACCTTAAATTGTATTAAATGCTGTATTAGGACTGGCTCCCTCACTGTATCGCTGTAATAAAGAAGACCCTACTCTCTGGACCTTTTCTTCCACAGCTGGTGTCAAGAACATCAAGTGTTTGGGAATGAYGGTTGGATTCAGCTCTCACTTGGGGGTCCTCAGTGCTCATGATCATGGTGAATACTCAAGTAGTTCCAGCCTGGGACCCTCTCCCATATGACAGGACTGATGGCAGATACCCACAGTGAGGACCTTGCAAGTAAAGGGAGGGAGTGGCAACAACAGTTCATGACACCTTATAGRTGAAATTCTGCTCTGCATCTAGGAACACATCTGAAGAGAGCCTGAGCCATTTGAAAGGCTCATGATG